TGACCTTCTGGTTTTCTGACTTGACTTGTCCCTGGATTCTGCTCGCTCCTCCTGACCCTGGTTGGCATATCAATCCCTAAATATTCTCAGACCTGGCTGCCCACAAGTCGGTGTGACAATTTGTCCAGACCACCTTTCAGTGAAGAGGGACTAGCATGGAGACTAGTCCCCTATCAGTCAGTGTCCTAGGCCTGCCCACCTCAGACACCATAATCTGGGGAAACCTGCAAGTTGGGAAGGATTGGCTGAACCGCTTGACTTTGCCCAACAAGTCCTGGAAGCCCAGGTGCAGCAGCTGCTAACTGAGAACCACTTCTCCAGTCCCAGGTGGTATACCACCAAGTGAAAAACTAGCACTGATATGAAGAAGCATAATGGCTGACTGCAAAAAAAAGATTGCTGCACTCTAGGCCTGTCTTCCCAAATCTACCACACACCCCTAGCACCACACTCACTGATTTTCTGCAAAGCACTCTATTTCCCTCCACAAGCACAGAACTCATCCCACCCTCCCTCCTGAAAATCAGATTCCCACCACCAACCACCCTACCCACCACCAATAAACCACCCTCTTCCCTGTGCAAGCTGTACATTCCCTGTACATTGTGCTCTGTGTGCCCGCTCGTGGTGGGGGCAGTGGGGTGGAGGCACCTATGGAGCAGATCCCAGGTACAGGTGCCCAGTGCTTTGGCTTCTGGCCACACCATCATGAGTGCACACACTGTGGTGAGGCCAGCAGGCAGGGGACTCGGCTGGGGATGAGAGTGGCTGCTGCTCTGCCAATGTGGCCAGCTCGCCCTCCTGCAGGCTGGGGTCAGAGCCATCAGGGCCCGCACATGGGCAGCTCCAGAGCCATCAGGGCCCACACATGGGACACATGAAGCCTGGGCAAATGGTGGAGGGGGGGCCCCAGAAAGAGGGACCAGCTGGTGGGGGATCCAGAGTGGGTGCCAAGACAGGAGGCCCTGGTTGCTGGAGGCACCACTACAGGGGGCCAGGGCCAATGAAGGAGGCTGCCAGAGCAAAGATGGTGTCTAGCACCTGGCGGTCTTCCTCTGTGGTCTCCAGTGTCCTGGCCATCATGACAAACTGCCACTCCTGGGCCTCCAGCTTCCTCTCGAGGGTGATGTGCCTCTCCTTGAGGGCCAGGAGCCTGTACCAGAATGCCTGGTTTTCCTGGGCCCTCTCCCAGGCCTTGTCCTGTTTACGTGCAATGTCCTTTGCACACCAGGTCCATGAGTCCACCAGCTGCTCCTCCACCACAGTGACCAGCTAGTCCAGCAGCAAGTTCTAGTCTTATGTCCACCCCTGCCAGAGCCGGCGCATATGGAGGGCCCCAGCTGAGGCTGCAGGTGACCCCGAAGGAGCATCCCCACTGACAACTGGTGCCTCTCTCCCATGTGCAGCTGAACCTGAAGAGCTAGGAGAAAAGTCGCTGGTGACACCAAAATTTGGAGGGAGGTGAGCACGCTAGCAGGGAGAGAGAGATTGCAGA